ACTACAACCAGCTACTTCAATCTCACATGGATGGCGAGGGATCCAAGCAGGAAGGGACCTTCTATTGGAACACCTAGGGAAGATCATTAGAGACAGAACCTCCACCAAAGTATGGGGTGAACCATGGTTATCTACTACCTCTCCCCTACAACCCTTTTGTCCTATACAAGAGGAAAACACCGATCTTTACGTTTCTGACCTGATATTGAGAGGCTCGGGAGACTGGAACATATCTAAAATCAGAAGCATTCTCCCTGAGGTTGCAGATGAGATTCTGACACTAAGACCAAGCATCTTAGGAGCCGCTGACTCCTACTTTTGGTACCCAATAGTGTCAGGGAATTACTCCACGAAGTCAGGATATGTGGCTACCGCTACTGGCTTACATGATAGACCAAAGTTACCAGCTGCGGTGTCAACTCTTGACTGGAAGAAGGCAGTGTGGAATGTTGCTTCCTTCCCTAAGATAAAGCTCCTTCTCTGGAAGATTCTTCATGAAGCTATCCCAACCGGAGACAATTTGCAAAAGAGAGGAGTGTCACTCAATACAACTTTCATACACTGGAGGGAAGCTGAAACCATTGATCACCTATTCTTACACTGCTCACTTGCAGCTCAGGTTTGGAACTTTGCACCATTAAGCACACCTTTCAATCCGCTATTGTCCAACTCTTTCCCTGCAGCCTTTACGGAATCATCTTAATGGGTATCTCTACCACCTACAGGCGTGACTAGCGATATCTTTTCATGGATCATATGGAACTTGTAGATTTCCCATAACAAACTCATCTTCGAAGCAAGACATGTCTCCCCTAGGAAAGTCATCACAAACGCCATAATCTTGGCTAAGGAATGGGCTATAGCTCAAAAGACGATGACTACACACAACGATGACATCACGACGCCGCTACAACCACCGATCCCAAACATCCCACCAGGGACGGCCCTATGCAATACGGATGCTGCTTGGAACCTAACCACCAAGGAAGCGGGTTTGGGTTGGCTCTTCTCCTCACTGGAGGGTCCTCAACGACAATGATTCCAATACCAATCACACGTCTGATCAGCAATTCAAGCGGAAGGATTGGCGATCCGTGCGGCTCTCTCTCACGCCATTCATCTTGGCTACACTAAAGTCTGGATTCGTTCAGACTCCCTCGGGCTCATTAGAGCTAACGCTTCGATTAAAAACCGAAATCTCTCCATGAAATTTTATCGGATATCAAAGCTTTGTTTTCCTCTTTTACTTTCTGTTGTTTTTCCTTTACTCCTAGGGAGCAGAATGGGCCTGCTGATCAGGTAGCCAAGTTTTCTCTTTGTACCAAAACCTATTCTTGGGCCTGAGACCAATCTTCTATGAAATCTTTTGGTTATTCAATAAAAAAAGAATAAAATACTATTATTCACAATCACCCCACGTAAAATCAACCATGTCACAACTAATTTACCTCACATATATCTCTCATGTGTAACAAAATCAGTGGATAAAATAAAATAAAAAAACTAAAATTATTCAATAAACAAAGTATTCTTTAGTGATGAAATAATATAGAACTCTAATCCCATACACAATTTTAAATACTAAACTCTACTTTAATCCCAATCTGTAAATATTAAATCTTAGATCCTAATAACAAACAATAATATATATAAATATTTAATATTTTTAATAAAATTAAAATCCAAAAATAGTATATGACATTTATTAGTATTAAACTATACTATATAAAGCTGGACTATTCTATTTAATAAAATCAAAATAGTACAACATTACATTTGTATATATAAAATAGAATGATCTTCCAAAACAAAATGTGTATGATTGAAGTTGCTATTATATGTACAGACACCCACCAATACCCTCCCAACATCCCCTAAATATTAAACCCAATTCCTAAACCTAAATACCAAATCTTAAATCAGAATCATAAAACCCAAACCTATTGTAGATCCTAAATTTTAATCATCAACCCTAAAAAATATAATATATAGTTATAGTTATAATATGGAGAATATGTGAATATAAAAATAATCTATTCTATTTATCGTAAATGGTATAGAAATACCAGAGCGTTGTAGATTATATAGTTTGGTAGTTTTAAGAGTGAAAAATAATAACATTGCTCAATCATTAAATAAAGAGAACATGATAAACATTATATTACTTGTTAATGAATACTATGAAGAAGAGAAATGTTAATATGCCATTATGTTTCATTTCATTGAAATAGTATAGAAATACAACAAGAGAGTATATACTAAATAGTATAGAAATTTTACACAAATAGTTACACTTACACAAATAATATTATGTTATACCTGTTTGCACTGAACATAGTATAGTTGTCGACTCATCTTCTACATATCCACATATTTTCTCGATAGGACACACATTCATCTATCCACCACCATTACTTTCACCACCAGATTTACATAATATACCAAGTCCATGTTGGGATGTGGTTGTTCCAGTAGTCTTGCTTTTAAAATTAATAGCAAAACAGAGTATAAAGCAGTGTTACAAAAAAAAAAAAAACAGAGTATAAAGCTAGAACGTGGAAGGAATTAATTTTTTGATTTCATAGAGTATTGTGTATATACTATTGGAAAAAAAGAAGTTAACAGAGATAAAAGTGATGATGAGAATAAAGTAAAATAATAAAAAATATAAACGTTATCTGTAGAGAAAAGAAGAAAGAAGAAATGAGAAGTGATTAACCGGTTATCTTTAAGGGTAGTTTGACATATATTATAGAAAATACGTTGAATATCTTGGTCATATGTTTTTTTAGCTAGTTACCTAATTATATAAAAAAAATTGGTGGTTATACAATCTAATTTCCTATTTAAAAACGCAAAAATTAAGTTAAGTATATTTTGATATTTTCTATATTTTAATTCATCAGTTACTTATTTTGATATCCAATACATTTGTTCAAAAAAAAATATCTTTAATAATAAAGTTGAGTTTTTTTCTCCATGGAGAGTAAATATTGACACTTGACATACTATCATTTGTTGAATATTTTTTAGGCCCAACTCTAAAAACTTTTATTTTATTTGAATTTTGTTGATTTTTACATTAGGCACAATTATGAGAATCTTTTATTTCATATATATCAACTTATTTAAATATCTAATTTTAATCATTTTTGTATTTACATATATATATATATATATATATTAAGTAATTAAAAAGTTATTAATAATATTTTAAAATTTACATATGTAAAGAGACTGAAAAGTACACAAAGTTACATTATAAAGTAGAAAACACATTATATTTTTTTGAATAAAATATAATTAATAAATTTGATTATGTTAATATATTTATATTTACATATATAAGTATTTTTAAATAACTATAAAATGTTATTAATAGTCCTTTAAGATTTACATACGTAAAGAGATTGAAAAATACACAAACTACATCATAAATTAGAAAATACAGCATAGTTTTAAAAATAAAACCTAATTAATAAATTTGTTAAGAAATTATACATCAATGGTCATTTAATTGAAACTAAAGTTTGATCCGCACACCCATGTGTATGTTTTTTAATTATAAATTAATATTTGTTTTATGAAATGATAATCTAAATTTTAAAATTTTATCATGCACGTATTCGGTTTTTTTATAAATGAATATTTATTTTGTGTACGTGATAATCTATATTTTAAATTTTATCGTGTGTGGGTTTTCATTTTTACATTTTTTTATTAATAAATATTCATTTTGGGTAAGTGATCATTTTAAAAATAATCATTTAATATGACATTTTTAAAACACAATAACTTTATAATTTATATTAATTGTTATAAATTGTCTTATAATTCGTTAATTGTATCACTTATATTTTTAGAATATGTTCTGTATATACGCACAAATGTGTTTTATTTTATTTTTTTTGGATCAAAATTATATTCTAATGTATAATAAATTTTTTTATATACTATTTAAAATATGTTTCTGTAAAAATTATAATATTCCACATTTGTAATACTGAATTTACATTAGAATACTATTTATAGGAAAATGTTAAAAATAATAAAAGGTAGGATTTTAGCCACAAATTGTTCATTTTAAAATTTAGAATATTTTGTTTATTATGATTGTGTTGAAACCTATTAAAATAAATATAGTGTAGGTTTTTTTTTTCTCTAACTTTTTGCTAGTTATAATTATTTGAAGAAATTATGTAATAATTATAAATTACAAGATTATTTAAAGTTAAGATTATTTAATATTTCAGTGATATTGATTTGTAAAAAAATTATAAGTTTTAGTGGTATTTTTTCTTTGTACTTCTCTTTAATAAGATAAATGCATAACGTCCAAAAAGAAATTGTCTCATCCTAAGCGAATCTCATATATATATTGCACCAAATACAACAACAGATGTGATAAAAAACACGTTAATAAAAAAAGAAATGATTCACAAAAAAAAAAAGAATAGTTACATGAAAAATCAAGATCTGAGAATATATATAGTAAATCAACAAAATAACTATGGCGTATATTACATGCATATGAAACATAACATTCAACTTCAAACGGACAATAAGTCAAACTTGGCCCCAAATAAATAAATATGTTTTCATATCATATCACTCATTTTTCAGTCACCCTAAATCGTTGACAATTTAAACTTTAAAATTCACATGCAATTTGCTTCTACATTAAGGAAAATGAAAATAATATTTATCACTAATCACTAAAAAAACAAACCACCATAACTCAATCTATGTTAGCTAGGAATTCGTATCAACCATCAACATATAACATCTTCGAATAATAATATTCAAATTAGTTAAAAGAATCCACACATGATGTAAGAATTTATCTATAGATATTGATAATTTCATAGTTACAAATAATTTTGAATTTATCAAAAAATAAAACATAAAACCCGGCGCTAATACCACTAGTTTCCAATACGTTAACCTGAACTCTTATTTAATTCGTCCACGTCTCTAAACCTCTCCCATTCAAAGTTCCTCTCATCTGCTACCGTGTCCATTCTTCACTCTCTTTTTCTCTCCTCTCCACCCAAAAAAAAATCTCATCACATTTTCCCTAGGAAAAAGCATCTCCGGTCAGAAAAAAATATTATTACAAAACTCAAAAACCATGTCTGGAGGTGTTGGTCCAACTTACAACGATACCGCCTTACCCAAAGAAGAACATCACGCCACCGGAGAAACCTCAACAGGCGCCAGATTCTTCTCGTTCGGACAGCTAAACATCCTCGCAGTAATCATTGTCCTCTCCGCAAGCGGTCTCGTCACAATAGAAGATTTTATATTCACACTCCTCACGCTCATCTACTTCTTCTTCCTCTCCAACCGAATCTTCCCTCCACACAAGAATCCAAACCGCGACGCTCCTCTCACAAGCCCCACAAACAAGATATTCCGTCTCTACGTAGCTTCTGCAGGGATCGTCGGGCTTTTAATCCCGATCTGCTACATATTCGAAGGATTCCTCGAGGACGATAAAAGAGGTGTGAGCGCTGCGGCGCCACACGTGTTCCTCCTGGCGAGTCAGGTTTTTATGGAGGGAATAGCCGCCACGTGTGGCTTCTCTGCTCCCGCTCGGATCCTCGTGCCGGTTGTTTACAACGCTAGGAGGATCCTAACGCTTGTGGAGTGGATTATGAACGAGTTCTCAAGGGAATCTCCTGAGTATGGGACGGGGACGGTGTCTCAGCTGCGGTTGAACGCCGGGAAAGTTTTGGCCGCTGTGAATTTTGGGATTTGGTCGTTTAATCTCTTTGGTGTTTTGATTCCGGTTTATCTACCCAGAGCGTTCAAGAGGTATTACGGTTCCAGCAAGGAGATTTGATTCCGGTTTAGATCAATTTTATCACATGGCTGTCTGATTCCGCCTTTTCTACTCGGAGCTTCAAAAGGGGTAAGGTATTACAGTTCCAACAAGGATAACTAGAGCCCGTTAAGTATTTTTACAGCTTTTATTGTCCTTTTGTTTAATCAGTCCGGTTCTGTTATTGTGGTCGGGATGTGTTTCTTCCTTCTTTTACCGTATATTGATGTTTTCCTTGATTAATCGGTTTATTTAGTTAATGTTGTTATTGAAGTTTCAAGGTTGAACATAAGCTAGACGCCAAAAAAGAAAGTTGATCAGTTATAAAGAACAAAAGTGAAAATGTAGAACTTCATACCACAACCTTTAGCCTAATTTAGACTAATGATTAATACACTATCTCAGTTCAAACACTTCTGGTAAACTATTAGGGGGACCCGGTGATTTCGTGTCCATGTTTCGTTGTGAGACTGTTTGGCTGAAAACTAGAAGTCTTGCTATCAAATCTGGCTTACTTATTCTCCCAAAAATAGTTAATTTAACATTGTCTGAGTATCAACATAAGAGATGTACATACCTACATATCAGATTATTACCCAAGAGAGTACATACATACATATCGAAAATCTTTTAGTCAATGTGAAACTGTAACAAAATAAAGTATATCTCAACGCTGATTATTGTAACAAGATGTAACATTATATGTAGGAGCTTGTAACATCCCAAATCTTTTATGTTTCTCTGGATCTTCTTATTGCGCTGACATTTGATCGTAATTAATTCGAGCATTAATAAATAACTAGATCTTGATCCGCACAACCGTGCAGGTGATTATTTTTATTTTTAACGATATAATTATTTGTTTTACATGATCAATTGTAATATTTACCATATTATTAATTGTTTAATCTATATTATTAAAACATAACAATTGTATAGTTCACATAAAATAAATTTATTTATATGTTTTAAATTTTCAGTGATAACATAATTTAAATCATGTGATACAAAATTCTAAATTGAAAATATTACTCGTTAAAAATCAAAAATTTAATTGAAAAGTATTATATTAAATTAGTATCACACATTTAATACATAAATTTACATGATTTTATTTGTAATTAAAAAATTAATTTGATATTTAAAATTTTTATTTTGGTTAAAGTGAAATGTAGTTTTAATTTTAAAATAATCACAAAATTAACTAAATATTTGTTAAAGAAACTAAGTAAAAAATGAAATATACATTTATTTTAAATAAATACGAATTTAATTAAATATTTTATAGGTTTATTTTAATGAAAAAATATATATTTACATTGTAAATAAAAAAGATATCAAATGATTTTGTTCAGATATAATTTCAGAAAATATAGGAATATCTATTTGATTTTTTATTCTAGAATAATTCAAATAATTTATATTTTTATACATAATATAATTTAATTAATTTTTTAAAGGTTGGTCCAAATTTAAAACTCACACATGAACTAAGTCATGATTTCTGTTTTAATATATAAGATTATGATATTTGTAATGTCTGGTTTGATATGTTTTGTTTGATATTACGTAATGACGTTTTGATATTCCCTATGGTTTGTAAACATTTTATTTTCTTTGTTTAATATATGAAAGGCTAATTTATACAAAATGATCATTATCTATTTGTTTCATTAAAATTTATAAGATGGTAAGATAAATATGTGTTTATATTTATCAAGTAAGCTAAGCAAATATTTTCGGTTAAGTTTTTCTTCTATGTTACAGTAAACGTTTAGTTTTTATTCACTTTTTCTTGTTTTGTCTTTTTATTTGGTTTTGTGTTTTTGATCTATTCGTAGTTTCATGCATGTTACGGTTTTAAGATGTAATTTCAAAAGATAATAATGGTTGAAGAGACAAAAATTCACCTTCCAAGTTTATTTTACTGCATGTTTAATATATGGTTCAATTCTAACATTCTTATATATTTCAATGGTGTATAAATATGAAACAGAAAAAGAGAAAGAGAAAATAAAAAAAATGATTAAGAACATAAAGAATATTTTATAAAGTTAGTATTTAATTCATAATGTAAGTACTAATAAGTATTCTTTCTCAAAAGAAAAAAGTACTAATAAGTATAACTTGATTACGACCCCGCTTAAAAGCGTGGAAATATTTTTTAACAAATTTAATTTACAAAACTAATATATGTTAAAAAATTGATAAGTAATGTTTAAACATTTTAATTTTAGCATATTTGTAAACTGTACAATTATATTAGTTATATTTATATTATAGGAAAATTATATAAGATAAGAGTTAATTTGTTTTTAAATAACTTCAACATGTTTGTTATAAATATTTAATAAAAACTATGTAAATTTTTGATTAATTGCATGATATATAATTATTTGATAAGAAAATTTATTTGATGTAAATATTTTGATTCTAACATTTTATTTGTATACTTATTCAATGTCAGTTTAAATCAAGTATAATCTCGTATTAATAATTCTACACTCTTAAAGATAAAATAATCTAATAAGAAAAATTTATTAAGTTTAAATGAATGTATTTTTTTATTTCTTAAAATATAAATAAAATATTTAACTATTTTAATTAATTTAATATTAAAAGATTTTTTTGAAATATCTGAATCTGCGAAAATAGTTATAATTATTTTTGAATTTTATTTTTCTTAACTTAATTGAGTGTTTTATGAAAATCATAGAAAAAGAGATAAATAACAAAATATTAAAAAATGTAAGATCTAATGTTTTTATATTGTTTGGATATAAAATTAATTATTACTAGCTTTTGATCCGTGCAGATGTATATTCTATATAAATATATTTTTATATTAGTTGTAAAAAAAACATACATATTTATGCTTTATAGGTTATTGAGCTATAATGTCGATGTATCTTGTTTATTTTGTTTAGTGTTTTTTTTTCTAACTATCAAATTGTATATTTTTTTATATTCTGCTTTTTTTAGTTTGTAAACTAAACAATTAAGTGTAAAATAATAGAAATCTTGTTTAGATTTTGTGTGTTTTATTAAATTATACTATAAATTTTATGATTGAAATTATAATTTTAAATTAGATTTTATAGATATAGTTTTTTTAAAATAAATTATTTTGGACAACAATAATTAAAAAAGAATCACACAAAAATAATAGTGGAAGTTAAACCTATATTAAAGCTCATATAGATGCAAAACTATAGTTTTTAATCGTAATGGCATTCTATTGTAATTTTTGAGGAAAATTAATGGTTAATTTTTTTTGTATTTTCTCTTTGATAGTTTAGATGGTTTGAACACACATTTAATTGTAGTATAAAGGAAGAAGTATTAGTTAAATTAGACTTCGATTGGTACAACAGATGATAAAACAGTAGTAGTATACTATAGAAGCAGTATGATGCAGAAGTTGTATGCTTTCATTAAATTTTTTAATAAAGTGATTAGAAAAGCAATAGCAGCATACATTTTTAAGTATCATAATAATTAGTATAATAATAAATTTATTTTAAAATAATATTTATATATTTATAATAAATATATTTGTTATTAAAAATAATGAATCTTGTTCATTGTATAAATTATATTACAATTTATATGTGAAATATTATATCTAAAAATGTAAAGTTTATGTTAAAAATATTTAAAAAAATTTGGATATAAACATAATTTTAATATTATTAAAAAAATTAATTATATATAATTTTATATAAATTATTATTTATTTATTGATAGAGCAGTAAATGATTCATATATAAAATTATCATAAAAATTAATATATGTTATATAATTTATTTATTAGTGTCTAAATAGTATAGATATGTTTATATCTATAATATATAAATATATATTATTTTATGTTTATTATTAAAAAAAATGAACGATATACGTAATTATATAAATTATATTATATGTTAAATGAAAAATATTGTTCTTTGAAAAAAGTTTAAAATATTTCATCGCAATTTTTAATTTTAAAATATAAATTTATTTTTTTACTATAAAATATATATAGTTATATTATTAAATAAAATAAATTAGTTTTATACAATTATTTTGAAAAATTATATATTCTAACTGCAAATGCTCTACCAAAAACTTCATATGGGAACATTGAGGAAAGAGCATTTGAAAAGCATTAGCATTTGATAAATGGTTCTCCAAATGCTTCTTGGTCAAATGTTGATCGGATAATAGGATAATAGAGAGCATAATGTTTATATTAATGCTCTACTAATCAAATTCTTAATTGAGTTTAATTACAAAGGGTCAATGTAATTAAATGTTTTGAAGTTTTTAGTCAATGTAAATGATTAAATTTAGGGTAGACGATTTACTTACCCACGAGAAGTATCATATAGCATCAGATCTCCACCGAACTATGATCTCATGCTAGATTTCCACAAATTGAAAATTGTAAACTTATTTATCCGTGAATCAATACTTCAAAACTTAATTACCCTCAGACAATGGTTTTTAATTGGTTTTAATTAGTTTATTATTAACCAAACCTCTTAAAATCAAGTAAACTAAACCAAAATCCAATTAAATCTCCACATGAATCACTGTAAACATTCTTATGTAAACATTTTAATGGATTTATTTTACAAATTGAAGAAGATTATGTTTTATTTAATTGGCTTTTAGTTTGGTTTACTTGATTTTAAGATGTTTGGTTAAGAATAAACTAATTAAAACCAATTAAAATCATCGTCTGTGGGTAATTAAGTTTTGAAGTATTGATTCGGGGAGAAATATGTTTACAATTTTCAATTCGTAGAGATCTAGCATGAAGTCATAGTTCGACTGAGATCTGATGTTATATCATAGTTATCATGGTAAATAGATCATATCTCTATAATATTATTTGAGAAGTCAGTTTCCTACGTGTCGCGCTCACGTTAACTCTCGTGATGGTTGATTACATAGATACCCTTAATGAATTGTTAGATTTTAAATTTATTATTAATTTTTTTATTAAGTTTCTTTTTTACTTTTTCCAAATAACATTTATAATAAAAGGAAATATTTCTAAAATTTTGAAACAGATTTAAAAAAGAAAATATATGTATATAATATGATTTTATTAAAAAGGAAAGTTCACAAAATAGTAATATACCCCATTAATATATATTTTTAAATAACATATAGTATATTTTCAAAATAATAAAAATATATATGTTCATGAACATCCAAAATTTATCAGTTACACTTTATTTTCTAATATTTTTAGAAATCAACATATAATTTGATAAATATTATGAAAATACTTGTATATTTAAGCGATAAATAAAACTAATTTGATTTGACTTAATTAAAATAAGGAATAAATAAATATTATGAAAATACATGTATATTTAAGCGATAAATATAACAAATTTGATTGGACTTAACTAAAATAAAAAGTAATTATACTTCAATTTTAACTCAATATACTCATAATTAATATCAATATAACTTAATTTATATCCAAAATTAAATATCTAACTACAATAACAACATATAATTTTATAGTAATAATAATCTATTTAATTTTATACATATAAGTTAGAGGTTGACTCAAAGCATATTAAAAAGAAAAAGAAAATATTAACCAATTACAATTTATTCTTTTGTAGAATTTGTATATATGCATGAGACTTCAAAATATTATCATTATATTCATTTATGCAATTTTGAATCAAACACTTCAGCTTATTATTTATTTTAGTTCAAGCACAATATATATATTAAGTTATATATAATTTAACTATAATATATTTACATATCTAAGAATATATTTACATATGTAAGACAATAACAAACCGAAATGAAAAGAAGAAAATTGATCAAAGTCTTATTATATTTACAATAAAAATATTATAGCTGAATTTGAAAAATAAATATTATCCAATATATCAAATTGATAACCAAACCGACTATTGATCTAAAAAATAACTGAACCAACAATAATATATCAAAAGTCATATGTATAATTAGAATAATATGATATTTATTAATATAAATTATACATATAAATTTATACAAAACTAAAACTAAATATCAATCAATTATTATAAAATTTTACTTTTATGAATATTTATCTCGTGCATGAGCACGGGAAAATCACCTAGTACCCTTAAATTTACAAGATAAGATGCTTGCACATATCGAAACACCGGAAAAAAATAAAGAAATCAGCTAAAGGCCGACTAAACTAACCAAGGCCCATATATAACTTATTATCCGTCCGTCTTTACGGCCCATTCCCTTGCAAAAGAAAAAGATTAGAGAAACAAGACTTGTGTGTTCTCTCATTCAGATATTCCCCATAGGATAGTTTAGATTTCCATTTTATCCTTTCATTTATTTATTTTTCTAGCTAACGGACATGGATGGATTGGTGATGATGGTGAGGAAGTGAGTTATGTCTTAAAATCTTCGAAGGGAGCTACACAAAAAAAAACTATAATACAGTTTCGAAGCTGCCCATGGCCATGGCCTTTCAGATAATAGCTTCTTCACCAACGATTACAAAATCTCATCTTATCTCTTTTCCTCATCTGCAATTTTCTTACAAAGCTTCGAAACCTTATCTCTCCTCATGTTTTTCTCTCTTGGGTTCTTCTCGTTTCTCTCCTTACATTGGTTTAAAGCATATGGGCGTCTCAATCTCGCCGAAATCTTTAAACCCAGGTCTCGAATTTCTCTATATCATCACAAAGTTGATTTCTTTTTTTGGGAAAATATGTTCAGTTTGTGTAATTTTTGTTGTGCAGAGAAGAAGAGAAGATGTAGTAAGGGTATGGTGATTCGTGCGTCTCTGTTTGGCGTTGGAGCACCTGAGGCTTTGGTTATTGGTGTTGTTGCTTTGCTTGTCTTTGGTCCTAAAGGCCTTGCAGAGGTTAGTAGTAACTTATTGAATTACTCTTTTAAGTTTAAGTATAGGTAAGGTAAAGCTAGCTATGGATTAGCTTTTGGCTTAATCGAGATTGAATCGCTATGAACTATTCAGGTAGCTCGAACTCTTGGAAAAACACTGCGTACATTTCAGCCCACGATTAGAGAGCTACAGGTTTGTCTGTTTGTTTTGAGCTCAATGCTCTCAGGAAAAGAACATGAGTTTTTATTTTATTTTTTTGAATTGCTTACATTAGCTTTTTCTGTAGGATGTTTCAAGAGATTTCAAAAGCACCCTTGAGCGTGAGATTGGGCTTGATGAAATTTCCACTCCAAATATGTACAACCAGAACAGAATGAACACTGGTCCTACTCCACCACCACCACCACCAACACCAGCTCCTAGCACTGAGGATCCTGTGACTGCTGCAAATGACCTGAGTGAGTGGCTATGTCTACTTTTAAAATGTTAAATAAGTAGTTTTGATTTGTCTAGATACGAGCTGTTTTCATTAGTGGAGTCTAGTTTAAGCTAAGCTATAAGGTATTTTCCTTGAAAATAAGCAGATGATGTTCAATCACCAAAGGCTTACACAACCGAGGATTACCTCAAGATTACAGAAGAGCAGCTCAAAGCTTTGTCTCCAAGTGAAGCAGGCGATCAAACTCAGACTCCAGAAAAGCTACAAACATCTACCGAAGAAAGCCAGCCCAAAGGTAAGTGAATCAACACAAATCAACAACTTTCTCATCTTAAACCCCATTTAAATCGGTGTGTTGTAGGTACATCAACGGCCACATCCCCTCCAAGACAAGATTGAAAACTCCAAATACTGACTTCGTGAGAGATTTTTTTGATCTGCCAAAAGAAATGAAGCTATTAGCTCTCAAGACATTTTCACAAAGCATTATGTGCAATCTTTAATATGGATTGAAAATATCGGAAAATGACTCAGTTGTGTATTTATGTTGCATTAGTTTGCCTTAATGATAAATGACGCAGCCTCATTGAGGCACAGCGATGTCTTTGGCTCCTGTTATGTTGCTGAGTATACAATACCTCCACTGGATAAGCAAAAGTTATCCAAATTCACATGAGTGAGCCAACCGGTGACACTTGCAGCAGAACTGGTCCCAAGCTTGGAAATCAAGTCAAAGTTGTACCTTTGTATTACACTTAAATCCTACACCACATTAGGTGAGAAATATTTTTGTCTCCACCAGCAGAAGGAGCTAAGGAAAACGAAAGAAAACTGAAAAAGAAAGCTTCTGGCACCGGAGGGATGCAGATGCTTATATGTCTTGTGTTTGGATTACTCATGTTTTGAGAAATAAGCATTGATATAACATTGTTAAGCTCATTTGAATAGTATCGCCCTAGTGGCTAGACACGATGTCAAAGAATACAAGCTCCCCACAATCCTCAGATGCACGAGTAAGTCGATGACCATGTTTTTGGTGCGACTCGACGGCTAGTGACTCTATTCTCAGTGTCCAAATACGTTATTGCTAAACTAGACTTATCCAAGAAACTATCCAACTCTGGTTACTACCTTAACCAACACCGGATACACATATTAGAATCCCTTCTCTCTAAGTCTGACAAAAAGTTTCCCCTATGTTGTACATATCTGCAGAGTTGACTCTGAAACCCTCTTTGTACAACCATTGTTGGAGGCGGGTTTCACTCCGCTCTAGATCCGGTCCAAGAACTCGGTTCAATAATAGGTCCACGAAGGTCCTTGGCTCATTCCGAGCTCAAGAGATGGCTCACATCGAATTTAAAATAATAACGGAGGTCAATGCAGTAAAGATGACTATAAATGCATAAATAACTGTCCGAGTTCATATTTTTCAATACAATTAGTCTCCTTCTCCACACTTTTGTTTTTTGGGTTTTTTTTTATTCGTTTCTCCAGTAATTTTATTTTGAATTCAGGCGTTGATTTTCCATTGGGCTCAGTATCATAATTATTCCAAAAACATCATCTCCTCTTCATGCTTGTCAATGGGCTTAAATGGAACCAAACATTAGATAAAATGCTAAGTCCAATTCCTCAATATTCTTCTTTTTCAGTGGTCCAAGCAAGATCATCTAGTAAAGGATAAGATCTAAGGTATGATTCTTAGATATATCCCCTACTACGGTTACTTCTTACCTCTGCCTATTACTTCATAGTTACTTAATGTGTTAAGCAAGAGACAAGTTGAGCTTTTTCAGCAAGCTTTACATCAAAAAGTAATGAAGTTACGATCCACTTGTGAAGTAAGAGAGATTGATGACCAGAACAAGGGGATCCCAATTCTTTTAGAGCAAATTTATACTTTTATATACTCTTATTCTTAGATACCATTTGTATGCATAGCTGTATTTTTTTTTGATAAAAAGCATAGCTGTCTTTTACTCGTATTACCAATCAAACATACACTTTTCCATACAAAATCATCTATCATTCTACATACTTTTCTTAGATGTCTTCTTACACGTTTACGAAACCATACCCTAAATTCTGAGGGGTTTTGAGATCCATCAACTACATTTTTCTTCAAACATAGGAAGATGGATTACTTGCATTACAAAAAATCTAGTAGTGGTGATTGGTAAAAAAAATAGTTGCCAAAACCAAGCCAGCCGTCTAACAAAATTGTTAATAAAATTCATATGGAGATAAATGAAAACTTGCAAAGAAAAGTTTTCATTTAAGCATATGATGATCCTGAATTTGGATTCCCCTTCACGGGACATGAAAATTCCATGTATTCTAATGCTACTTTGAATCTTTTTGTAAGCAATGAATTCTCTTGTAGTAAGTTATTTTTTTCATGATTCATGTCTATAAGAATATGTATACTATGCAGGCTAGGATAGTAGCTCTCAATGCATCTTTTTTTTCTGAAATCTGGAGGTCACTATATGATCTCAATAAAGGTCGGTACTTCTGCCGTTGATTCAAATAAAGTCATTCCCTTTTAGCATTGTTTGTTTAAATATTAAGTGTGTTCTTTATTTTTATTTGATTTTATTTTATTTTCAGGCGAATTGTTTACACTCAACAATGCCAGCAAAAATAGTGTTTTCAAACGAAGTGAAGAAGCTGCAAGCGGACGAGTTGAAACCCACAGAGAAAATTACTCTTGAGCCTTATGAGCGTGAGCATGCTTGTGTTGTTGGTGGCTATCGCATGCCTAAAAAGCAGAAAGCTGCTACTTAGTTTGTGATTTACTTAAAGTTTTGTTAGAAGCTTAATTATTACATTAATTTTTGAGTTTTATTTATATTTTCTATGGTTTTTGCGTTACTGAAAATGGAATTAGCTAAGTGTAAACTTAGTAAAAAGAAAAAATCTTAGCTATGATCAACTATGGAAAGAGTATATTTTATTGATAATATGGCCAAGAGCAGCCGATGATTACAAAGGCTCTCAGAGAACAAGAGTATAAATATATTGGGACTATAGTTTAATTATTGAGAGAATTGGATTATCTTCTTCTCAGTCGTTCTTCCTTCTTTTATAGGTCTTTTGGAAGTGAATCGTAATGGTGATGTGATCTTCACTTTGGATCGAGTGTCTATGGTGGTCTTTAATACCATTGATTCTTTCACGTAGGCATGAGCGTTCGGATTTCGATTCGGTTCCAATTCGGTTCTTTCAGTTTTCGGTTCTAGAGATATAGAAACTATTTGGTTCGGTTTGGTTCAGTTTTAGGTTTGGTTCAGGTAACAATATAAAAAAATTTAATATCTAATAAACTTTCAATTTTGGTTTCAGTTAGTTTTGAATATTCGGAGTAGTATAACAAAATTTTGGGGGTTTTTGGATTAAAAATTGGGTAACTCAGATAAATTGTTATATTTTGGATAAAACTATTTGGTAATTCGGTTATTTAGGTAAAACTATTTGGTAATTGGTTCTTTAGGGAAATTCAGATAATCTTAAATACTTTGGATAAAAATATTATGGTAGTTTGTTTTATTAGTAATAATTTTAGAATATTTGTTAATTTAAATATAATTAATATTTTAGGTATATAAATTGTATTTTGGTACCCATTTGGTTCTTAGTTCGTTTCCAGTTTTCGATTATAGAAATATAGGAACTACTTACTTATTCTTTAACTTGGTTCGGTTTCAGGTTCGTTTTTTTTGTTTGGTTCCGGTTTGGTTTTTGTTTCTTGATTTTTATACCCATGCCTATTTTTATATTTTTTCTTGATTTGCCAAACTCGATAGGTGAGATTTTTCTTAGTTCAGGATGGACCTCGATCTCTGTGGATCTATTGTTCCCTCTTGGACCTTTATGAAACTTGGTTTCGGTTTTATTATGCTGAGCAGAGATCTTGGACTAGATCTAGAACGAGGTGAAACCCGGCTCCAACAAATTTTACATTGGGATGACTGCTTAAAACTACCTGTAGACATATATACTCTACTTATTCCCCTCTAAATTATTCAGCTCTTGACAAATCCACCCAAACTTATAACTTTTCTTTATATCTCCCCTATTCTTTTTTAATCCATCTCTCTAATCCAATTTCGAAATTGAGATTAAAGAGACAAAAACGCGTTAAGGAAACAAAGATTAGAGATTAACCAATCAAAAAATACCCAACCAAACATTAAAAACAGACCCGACCTGATCCAGATTTTAAAACATTAATCAATGGTTTTTTTTTAAGGGTTTTTTCTATCTTCTTCACTCACGACCCGGCACAAAGAGAAAGACTCAAAGTTAAGAGAGTGAGAGAGAGACAAACAGAGACTGGAAGAGAGAGATATATAGAGAGAAGAGAAACCAAAGAGAGATTGCAGGAAGGAGACAGGGACGACGAAGATGACAGAGAAAGAGAAAGAAGCGAGAGAAGAGAGTGCAAAGGAGAGAGAGACAGTGAGAAAAAAATATTTGGAACTTCATAGATAACTTTTTAGCAAACAAAAATTTCATATATCTTTTCCATCTTCTCTTGTTAAATTTACTAAATGGCATACCTCTTGCTGACAAAGTAATGTTATCAAATTCAATATGTAAAACTAAAATAACTTTGAAATATCGTAATTCTTAAACGATACTAACATATTTCAAGGTTCTTTTGTGCGTATGAAAGTGAAACTATAGCTGTAACCATGGAATCTGAGTTAATAAATGTGAGTTGGGTTGTTGTTTGTTTGTTATGATGTTGTATAAGTTTTCCAGAAATAACGGTGTAAAATATTTCAGAAAAAATGGTATTATTAACATCCCTCACTGTCACTGCACTCTCTTCTCTTTCTCTCTCATCTTCGTTGTCCATGTCTCCTTCCTGCAGTGTCTCTTTCGTCTCTCTTCTGCAGTCTCTCTCTCTCTCTCTCTCTCTCTCTCTCTCTCTCTCTCTCTCTCTCTCTCTCTCTCTCCTGCAGTCTCTCTTCAATCTTCATCCCTTTCTCAGTCTCTATTTCGAGTCTTTCTCTCTGTGTCGGGGTCTTGTGAGTGAAGAAAGAACAAACTCTAAAAAAACATCCAACGATTTTGATTGATGTTTATAATTTGGCTCGGGTCTTTCTCTTAATATCTGATTCGTTTTTATTGGGCAATCTCTGTTACGTAAACGCAATTTTTTGTCTCTACGATTTAGAATTTCGAAATTGGATCAGAGAGGGGGACTAAAAAATATTGGGGAGAGATGTAAAGAGAAATTATAAGTTTAGGTCGATTTGTCAAGAGCTAAGAACTTTGGGAGAGAATAAGTAGGGATTGTATGTCTACAGGGGGTTTAATGCAGTCAACCCTTTTACAATCAGTTTTTAATTTTTTTACAATGATAGCAAATAAGTAAAAAATTCATATACTCTAGTTTGTAAACAATTTCCCACCGCAACATAACTTATATGTATATATATATGTTTGTAAACAATCACATCTTAAATTTTGTTACAACCGCAACATAACTTATATGTATATATATATGTTTGTAAACAATCACATCTTAAATTTTGTTACAAAGATAGCAAATAAGTAAAAAAGACACAACATAACTTAACTTATATATATGTTTGT